CACATGAACCAGGAGCAGGCAGGTGGGACAAGTTTAGTTGGGATTATGGTCAGCACGGACTGTTTGGACTGAAGGGTCTGTTTCCATGCTGTACGACTCTAGGACTCTGAGACTTTGTTGGATTCCACTCAGAATCAGAAACTCCAAATGCTTTCTCTTGCCAGGTGTAATGCAAAGCACCAGTTGAGATTACCCATATTCTTTACGGATGTCCTTTTTTTTTGGAAGAAGTAATCTTTCATGGGATCTAGATAGTGCTGACGAATCCACCATTTCTTGCCCGTCCCTAACTGCCCTTGAACAGAGTTCAGAGTTCAACCACATTGCTGCAGGTCTGGAGTCACGTGGACAAGACTGGGTAAGGGCAGCAGTTTATTGTGAGGTTCAATGTCAGTCTTAGCCTGCAGAATGTTTGGAGACACCTTACCATGCTAAAAGGCACTACATAAATGCAAGGTTTTGTCAGATGCCGGCGTGAGGTCAGGTTCGCACATTAGTTGTACGAAACCATGCTGAGAGACAGTGTCACCCTCTCGTGTTAAAGTAGAGTTAGAGACTTCAAGATTTCAGAATGTTACAGTGAGCTTTACTCCGAAGCTCAACAGGAGCTACAGTGGATTGCTGCGTCATACACTCTGCTTTGTAACATTACCCTTCATCGCATGAGCTGATGAAACTGACCACTGTATTTGTCATCCCCTAGATTCCAAGTCAGGCTATTCTTCTGCGTGGGATGCATGATGTTCAGCAACATCAGTCAGACCCCTGAATTTCAAAACTGTGTCCTCTAGTTCTAGATTCTCCCACTATTCAAGACATCACTTCAGCAGCTACCCTGTGAATTAAATCATCTCGGGATGTTTCAATAAAGTCACCTTTCATTCTTCTGAGCTCCAAAAGGTAGAAGTCCAAATTTTCTTCTAAGAAAACACCTTCACTTCTTCTCTGAATCACTTTGAATGTAATCATGTTCTTTCTTAAAGTGACCAACATTGTATACATCTCCAGAACTGTGGGGGGGTCACAGTCTAAGGATACCACATAGGACTGAGATGAGGAGAAATGTCTTCACCCAGAGAGTGGGGAGCCTGTGGAATTCTCTGTCACAGAAAACATTTGAGGCCAAAACATTGAATGTTTTCAAGAAGGAGTGGGATATGATCTTAGGGCTAAAGGGATCACAAGGTGTGGGGAGAAAGTGGGAACAGGGGATTGAGTTGGATGATCAGCGGTGATCATATTGAATGGGGGAGCAGACTCGAAGGGCCGAATCATAGAATCCCTACCAGTGTGGAAGCAGGCCATTCAGCTCGTTGAGTCCACACCAACCCTCCAAAAAGCATCCCTCCCAGACCCACCCCATTCCTGCAACCTGCATCTCCCATGGCTAACCCACCTAGTCTGCACACGGATGGACACTATGGGGCAATTTAGCATCACCAATCCACCCTAACCTGCACATATCTTTGGACCAAGAGGGAAAACCGGAGCACCCGGACATGGGGAGAACATCCATGTGGAGTTTGCACACTTGCCCGAGGGTGGAATCAAACCCAGGTCCCTGGCGCCATGAGGCAGCAGTGCTAACCACTGAGCCACTGTGTTTGCTCTTGTTTCTGTGTTTGTGTTCTTTATGTTTCTATGTCCAACCTCATATTCCAGTCTCCTTGAAATAAACAACCTTCCATTTGGCTTCCCGTTTACTTGCTGTACCTGTGAACGAACTTTTTAGGATTCACGTACCAGTGAAGCAGTGACAAAACCGTGAATCATCTGTACCCCAAAAAAAAACCAACGTTCTGCAATTTCTTTGCCTCATTATATGGATCGCTTAGGTTTGTGTGTGGCAGCAAGCTTCTGCAAGTGGAAGCCAGTTGGCACGCATGAAACCTCCCAGCAGCCACGAGGCTCAGAGGGAACATTGCCTGAAATGATAGCCATCAGAAAACCTTAGTATGACAACACACTAGTTACAGCTAAACCCAGTCTGCATCTTATAATTGGCACCATTGCGATTGTGGCACTGGCCTCACAGTCTAGTGTAACATTCCAAACGTTTCAGGCAAAATCCCACCAGAAACCCCAAATTTAAAAATTCAGCGAATTAAACTAATCTGAAACTTTAGGAACAGGCCGCTCCTTAAATAATGAGACACCAAAACAGCTGTCCATCGAGTTCATCTCTAAGTAAAACTCAATTGAGAATCCAATTTGACAGAATGCCAAAGGCTCACACCTCTCTGTTTGGAGGGATTCCTCCTCATCCCAGCGCTAAAAGTGCAACCCCTTATCCAGAGACTGTACCCAATATTCTAGATTCCCCGAATAGGAGAAACAACCCATCAGGATCCTGTGGAATCTTGTATATTTCAATGAGAGCACATCTGTGAACCTCATCTCGGTAACAGCAACCATGAAACTACCATCGATAATCATTAAAAAACCCCCATCTGGTTCACCAATGTGGGAATGAAATCTGCTGTCCTTACCTGGTCTGGCCTGGCCTACATGTGGCTCCAAACTCATAGCAATGTGGTCAACTCTTAACTGTCTCAGCAAGACACAAAGTAGTCATCTATTAATGGGGAAATTACTGATAGAATCAAAGAATCCCTACAGTGTGGAAGCAGGCAATTCAGCCCATTGAATCCATACTGACCCTCTCAAAAGGGTGTGAATCTGTGGAATTCACTACCTCAGAGGGTAGCAGATGCTGGGACATAGACAAATTTCTAATTAGCAATGAGTTAAAGGGTTATGGAGAATGGGGCAGGAAAGAAGTGGAGGCCTAGATGAGATCAGCCACGATCACAATAAATGGCAGAGCAGGCTGGAAGGGCTGAATGGCATACTACTCCCGCTCCTAGTCCTTATGATAGGCAGAGAAGAATGCTCTCCATTGTAGGGAAGATGATTTGCCGATGCTGGGATCATATTTTATATATAGTCACAAATAAAGGTAGCAGAGGAAGAGCGGTACATTGGCTCAGTAGTTAGCCTCACAGCATGAAGGGCCTGGGTTCAATTCCACCCTCAGGCGATTGTCTGTGTGGAGTTTGCACATTCGCCCCGTGTCTGCATGGGTTTCCTCTGGGTGCTCTGCTTTCATCCCAAAGATGTGCAGGTTAGGGTGGATCAGCCATGCTAAATTGCCCCATAGTGTCCAGGGACACGCAGGGTAGGTGGATTAGCCATGGGAAATGGAGGGTTAGGGTAGGGGGGTGTGTTTTGGAGGGATGCTCTTTGAAGAGCCGAATGGCCTGCTTCCACACTATAGGGTTCTATGATTCTCTGAAGAAATCTCTTTGCCTAGAGAGTAGTTAGAATATACAAACTAAGAAATAAGAGTAGACCATACAATCCTGAGTGCCATTCAATATAATTGCAGCTTATCGTCAGCCTCAACCCTATCCATTGCAAAAGCTGGACAACATTCAGTCTTCAGCTGAAAGAATCTAAGAGAGGCTAACGCTCACCCCAATGACTTTCAATGGCATTTCCATCACTGGGTCCCCCAATATCAACATCCTGCAAATTATTGACCAGAAACTCAACTGGACTATAAATACTGCAGCTGGTCACTTGTGGTGTAGTGGTAGTGTCCCTACCTGACTCCCCAAACCATCAGATGACCACCATCTCCAAGGCACAAGTCATGAATGTCATGGAATACTCCCCACTTGCCTGGATGGGTGCAACTCCAACAACACTGAAGAAGCTGGACACCATCCAGGACAAAGCAGCCTGATTGATTGGCACCATATCTAACAACGTTCACTCCCTCCACCACTGATGCTCAGATGCAGCACTACGTACTATCTACAAGATATATTTTTTTCAATTCATTCACAGGATGAGGCCAGCATTTATTGCCCACAAAGCAGTCAAGAGTCTGGAGTCACATGTAGGCCAGACCAGGTAAGGATAACAGTTTCCTTCCTTAAAAAGGACATTAGTGAACCAGGTGGGTTTTTCCAACAATTGGCAACAGATTCACTGTCATCATTAGACTCTAAATTCCAGATTTCTATTGAATTCAGATTCCACCTTCTGCAGGATTCAACCCAGGTCCCCAGAATATTACCCGAGCCTCTGGGTTAATAGTCCAGTGAGAATACCTCTAGGCCATTGTACTGCCGACGCAACGCAACAACTGATCAAGATGCCAGCACCTTTCAGAGACATGACCTCGGCCATCTAGAAGGAGAAGGCCTGCAGATACATGGAAACACCACTCCCCGAGAGTTCCCCACCATCCTGACTTGGAAATATAATGCTTTCCTTCATAACCGCTGGATCAAAATCCTTTCTGAACGACATTGTGGGTCTGCCTACAGTGGTTGACTCTGAACCACTTTCTCCGGGGCAACAATTCACATTCTGTTGAATGAATGATTGTACTTCTTAGAAAAATTATCTTCCTGCTCACTTCCCATACTCATTTCTGACACCAAGCATCTGTATCCCTCAGCCTTAAATGTACATGAAGGTGTAAGTATGGAGGGAGGAACTTGATAGGGAGACACGTAGCAATAGGAGGACAGGTTGATAGAGATTCGAGACAGTGTGAAGGGACACAGCATGGAGCAGTTGGGCTGAATGGCCAGCGTCTGAGCTGTATTGTGCATTGTGGTGTTCACTTATAATAACTAGGTCTAACGGATTATGAAATAAGTGGCTCCATCAGTGACAACATCGATAGACGAATGAGTCAGGAATGAGTCAGAGACTGGGGTGGTTTTTTTTTGGTCTGAGAGTCGAGGTCCACATTTACCACGGACCCATTGAAATTCAGAAAAGTCTGGTCAGAAATCTCTAGGGAGAAAAGAACACTTAATAGTTGTGGTGTGACCCCTGGTCAGGAACACAGAACTTTGACCTTTCTCTTCCAGATTCACAGGGTTTCCGCTCTCTGCGCTTACCCCCCTCCTTTAAATATGGTTTAAGAGTCATTAATCTGACTGTATAATCCCCCTCCACATCTCCACACAGTACAGTACCTGACAGATGGGTAAGGACAGCAGCAAAGCAGCTACTGGATAGAGCAAAACGCTGGTCCAACACATTACTACACGCCTCCAGTGCCTCACATCGACAGGGAATGTGCTGTCCCAATACAGGGGAGGTGGGGAACAAGGCAACAATTCGGGGGGGTGGGGGGGAAGCCCCCTAAGACGAGGTCCTGGGAACGAAACCAAACATTGATTTCAGAGAGTGTGTGAGGATACACAAGTAAGGGGAGATTCAGAGAGAAAGAGAAAAAGAAAAACGCACAAAGAATGGGTGGGGAAAAAGAGAGAGAGAGAGAGAGACAGGGAAAGAAACAGGAACAGAGAGAGACAAGGGGCACAGAGAGGGTGGTGGTGGTTGGAGAGATAGGGGCACAGAGAGGCTGGTGGGGGCTGGAGAGATAGGGGCACAGAGAGGGTGGGGTGGAGAGATAGGGGCACAGAGAGCATGACCACAAGAGAGACAGGGAAAAGAGTGAGAGACAGACACAGGGCAAAGAAGGGAGGGGGGAGAGAGACAGACAGACACACACACACACAGGCAAAAAGAGAGGATAGAGGTACAGACAAAGGGTCAGAGAAAAGGAAGGAAGACAGAGGCGTGGATGCAAACAGAATGAGAGAGACAGAGACAGAGAAGGGGAAAGAAACAGACACGAATGGTGAGACAGGGAGAGATTCAGAGATATTTAGAAAGATGAGGCAGACAGATTCAGCCGGCGATAAACAGGGAAAAGAGACTCCTGATTTAGTTATCGACAAACCGGCATGCACATTGACATCTGTCTGCAATGTTATGCAAAGCGAGAGAGAGTTAGAGCCGGCACCAGAGTGAATGAGAGAGAGAGAGCCGAGTAAGTAAGTGACTAACCTGGGCACACAGGACTCTGTAAATCCTCAGCTCAGGCTCGCTCTCTCTCACTCTCCCTGCGCTTCCTCTCAAACTTTTACACATTACAGCCAAGTCCTAGGCGCGCCCCCGAGTCACGGGATCCTCGGCTCGTCCCCGATCCCCTGTGTGAAGGTGGAGCTCAGAAATCCCCAGAGATTCCGGATTTAAAATCCCAGTTTCATGTCAAAACAAAGCGACTATGTGTGGAGAGTGGGAGCTCAGGGCTGGGTCCACGGTACAGACGGGCCAGGTTGAGAGGGGATGGGCTGAACTGCCGGGGGTGTGTCTACATCAGAAAGTGTCAATTCATTTCACGAGAGGGTAAATAACTACTTTAACCATCCGGACTCCTGATAGCCCGATCCTGTCCTGGGGTTGGGGAACAGATTCCCTTCCTCACCCCCCACCCATTTCACAGGAGGCCGTTCGTTCCATCGAGCTTGTACCGGCTTCTTGAATGAGCACCATTCATTACCCAGTGCCATCTTCCCCTCTCCACTGGGCTCCCTATCCACTAAACCATGCTTAGTTTCTGACCTCCCCCTTCCCCATGCGAATCCCCACCTCCCCAGTGCTGCATTCACCCCTCAAACCTGCCTTCTCCTTCATTCAACCCCTTTCCCCCACTGATTGCCCCTCCGACCTCCCTACCTCTCCAGTAAATCTCCTCTCCCTCCAACTGAAGCCCATTCCTCCCCCTAAACTCCCTCTCCCCTCCCCCAATGAAGTTCCTCTCTTTCCCCCTGAACCCCCTTCCCCACTAAACTCTCTCTCACTGAACTCCCTCTCCCCCACTGGACCCACCATCCCCCTTCCCCACTGACCCCCC